TGCTTGAGAGTTAATAGTAACTCTCAAGCAAACAGAAACTACTACAGTTATCCAGCATCTACCAATCCCCATGGGTGCTGGATAACTGGGAGTTTACTGTACTGAACACACTCACGTCTCATAGATCTGGGTGAGCTGTAATGGGGTTCTGTGACCAGTAGATGTCACTATTGACCATGCAATGATTCCATGTATTGTACACACTCACGTCTCATTAGATCTGGGTAAAATGTAATGGGGTTCTCTGGGTAAAATGTAATGGGGTTCTGTGAGCACTAGGTGTCACTGGATGAGCTGTAATGAGGTTCTGTGACCACTAGATGTCACCACTGACCATGCAATGATTCCATGTATTGTACACACTCACGTCTCATAGATCTGATGAGCTGTAATGGGGTTCTGTGACCACTAGGTGTCACCACTGACCATGCAATGATTCCATGTATTGTACACACTCACGTCTCATAGATCTGATGAGCTGTAATGGGGTTCTGTGACCACTAGGTGTCACCACTGACCATGCAATGATTCCATGTATTGTGCACACTCACGTCTCATAGATCTGGATGAGCTGTAATGGGGTTCTGTGACCACTAAATGTCACCACTGACCATGCAATGATTCCATGTATTGTACACACTCACGTCTCATAGATCTGATGAGCTGTAATGGGGTTCTGTGACCACTAAATGTCACCACTGACCATGCAATGATTCCATGTATTGTGCACACCCACGTCTCATAGATCTGGGTGAGCTGTAATGGGGTTCTGTGACCACTAGATGTCACCACTGGCCATGCAATGATTCCATGTATTGTGCACACTCACGTCTCATAGATTTGGGTGAGTTGTTGTTTTAGATTAGTTTTGATGCTGTCTAGGTAAGCGGCCATTTCTGCAACCACCGCCGCCGCGCTGACTCCATCTTTGTCCAGCACGGCTGTCCCACACATGTAACCTGGAGAAAAAAAAAGGGAGGTAAATTACCCAAAGCAATGATTTCTATGTCAGCAGAGAGATATGTGGTGATGGGGGGTTGTGGGGAGGGAGAGAGATGATGCTGCAGGTAAGGGCTCAGTACAGCCCAATACCCTTTCCCACAAAAGAGCAGATGGCCCAGTACAATTCTCAATCAGACATATCCTAAAACCAGGGGTAGGCATACTGTGGCACTCCAGCTGTTGTGGAACTACAAATCCCATGAGACATTGCAAGATTACAACTACAGGCAGGACTCCTGGAGACAAAGGCATCATGGGATTTGTAGACACACACACCACACACACCACACACACACACCACACACACACACTATATGGAGGACAGAATGTGAGATTATAAGGTTGCAAGTAGGGATAAACCGATACCAGTACTTCCGGTAGCATAGAGCCTGCTTCCCGGGCAATCAGGAAGCCAGGCAGCATGTCACTACCCACCGCCCGGCTTCTTGATTGCCCAGAAAGCCGACTCCATTCTGTTTGGCCGGGAAGCCGGCTTCCCAGCCAATCGGCATCGAGGCCGGTCAATATGGTGACACGACCCCCACCCTGCAGGCACCTCATTCCCCTCACATAGATCCTCAGCAGCCGTCATTACCATACCAGTCCCTCGGCCAGCTGGGCAGACACCGCTCTCCGGGCTCTCCAGGATCTGCCCACAACTCCTGTGTGTACAGCGCCCGCGTGATCGGCCCTCAGCCTGCTACTGCGAATGCGCAGACTGCTTAAGGCTCTCAATCAGAAATCCTGTGCATGCGCACGATCACGCGGGCGATGTGCATACAGGAGACGTGGGCAGATCCGGGGAGAGTGGCGCATGCCCAGCTGTCCGAGGGACTGGTACGGTAATGAATGCTGCTAAGGATCTATGTGAGGGGAATGATTTGTCTGCAGGGTGGGGGGGGTAGTGTCACCATATTATCAGATTTGTTTGCCCGGCTCGAAACTGATTGGCTGGGAAGCCGGATTCCCGGCCAATCAGCATTGAGCCGGCCAAACAGCATGGAGCCGGCTACCCGACTCCATGTTCCCTCACGGCACTGCTGGTCAGAGGAAATCTCCCTCTGACTGGAAGTTCCAGCTTCGGGAACGGGATCGGAGCATTTGGGCGAGTACGAGTACTACCTCAAATACTCTGTATCGGCACCAATACTAGTATCGGTATCGGTGCATCCCTACTCGCAAGGAATGACGACTCACCTATCGATTCCTCAAAAGCAAACAGGACGGTTTTCCCTTTATCCAAGAGATCCTTCACTCGGTTTCCGATCCATTTAAACCCGGGCAGAGTATCCTGGAAAAGAAAACCCTGACGTTTAATCTGCTGCTATTTACCTTCTTTGGTTCCTCCCTCCCCCTCCCCCTCATCAACATGCTAATGACATTTTCCAACAAGACCTTTACATTTTCATTACAAACCTTATTTTAGTCTCAGTGATGTCATCACCGGGTCTATGTGCTTCTCTGTGCAATGCAGGCAGATCGGGGCTGTATATAGCTTCCTGAAACCATCGCAGCACCCTGCCTCAGTACTCGTCTAAAGAGCCCTCAGCCTGATGCAAGCAGTGGGCGGGCTCTTGGGAGGAGTTATGCAAATATTAAAATGCCTTGATAAACAGATGTTAGTTTGGAGGAGTTGGCGTCAGATACAAGACTGAAGGGAAGGCTGGAGGTCAGATAGAAGACTGAAGGGAAGGACGGAGGTCAGATACAAGACTGAAGGGAAGGCCGGAGGTCAGATAGGAGACTGAAGGGAAGGACGGAGGTCAGATACAAGACTGAAGGGAAGGCCGGAGGTCAGATAGAAGATTGAAGGGAAGGACGGAGGTCAGATAGAAGACTGAAGGGAAGGACGGAGGTCAGATAGAAGACTGAGGGGAAGGATGGAGGTCAGATACAAGACTGAAGCGGAGGACGGAGGTCAGATAGAAGACTGAAGGGGAGGACGGAGGTCAGATACAAGACTGAAGAGTAGCACGGAGGTCAGATACAAGACTAATGGGAAGAACGGAGGTCAGATACAAGACTGAAGGGGAGGACGGAGGTCAGATTAAGGGATGACAAGAAATGTCCATCAGGTGCCCATAGACATGAAAGGACTGACAGCTGACCCGGCCTCCATTGCCAGCTGATCAGCATCCATGATGTCTATAGGCAGCTGATGGCAGATTCATCTGACAGATCTCAGGGAAGAAACCAACCTGACGGTTAGAACACTTTGTCCAACTGCTAATGTTCCCCGATTTTTGAGCATATCAGGACTTCTTGCAATGAGCGCTCCGCCCATCCCCCCTATCCTCGGCTATACACAAGGAGGCTCACGCAGCCCCGTTATATACCAGTGTGGGGTCAAAGTCTGACAAACTCCAGGTGAAATCACAGGAAAGTATCTGAAATGGCGATTTGCAGTTTTTATTTCTCCGCTTGTAATACGACTTCAAACTTACTATTCCAGGAATGGTCCCCGCACAGGCTCTCGAAGTATCCCCCCTCCTCTCACCTCGTAGTGTAGGCCCTCACGTGTGGCGATGGCTTGCAGGATTTTGGAAGAGACGGTGGTGGCCAACATATGCACGTCCCTGGGCTCGCATGTCCCCTCCGATCTCTGCCAGCAGAAGAACATCCACCAGCCGAGGAGAGCCGCCAGCTCGTTCCCTGTGAACACCTTCCACCGGCCTCTGCAAGACAAGAAGGGAACCCATGGGGGACGCAATGATAGGACCTCTGGTGCTTTATATGGTCATCATCATCCTCATCCTTCACTACTTATTACCGTATGTGTCTGCCCTGAGGACGGCCGCTTCCCCCATGTCTTGTCCTGAAGTCAGAGGGACCAGAAGTGACCTGAAATCTCTCCAACAAGGTCGCCGGCACCAATCACAGTCCATCCGAAACTGAGCTGGAGTTTGGCTTTAAAAAGACAGCAAGGGGCGGCCTCCACCTCTCCCCCTAGACACCTTCACGGCATCCTTCAATACTGGGGATGCACCGATAACAGTTTTTCGGTATGGAATAGGAGTACCGATATTTTCTTTTCAGTACTCACCAACACCGAATACCGATACCGGAAGTCCCATTAAAGAAACCAGGCGGCGTGTAATGACTCGCCGCCCTGCTTCCTGATTAGCCGGCTCCATGCCGCCTCGTCACTTGGGGACAGTTTCCCGGAATATGGGCGGCGTGTAATGACTCGCCGCCCTGCTTCCTGATTAGCCGGCTCCATGCCGCCTCGTCACTTGGGGACAGTTTCCCGGAATATGGGCGGCGTGTAATGACTCCCCACCTGGCTTCCTGATTAGCCGGCTCCATGCCGCCTCGTCACTTGGGGACAGTTTCCCGGAATATGGGCGGCGTGTAATGACTCCCCACCTGGCTTCCTGATTAGCCGGCTCCATGCCGCCTCGTCAGCAGGTGACAAGGAAGCATGGAGCTGGCTTTCTGGCCGATTAGGAAGCTGGGGGGGGCGTGTAATAACTCGCCGGCTCAGCTTCTTGATTGCCCACTTTCCCAACCAATCAGGAAGCCGGGCAGCGAGTCATTACATGCCGCCCAGATTTCGGGAAACTGTCCCCAAGTGACGAGGGAGCGTGGAGCCGGCTTCCCGGCCAAGTCATTACCTGTACATGCTCCCTGGTGACAAGGGAGCATGGAACTGGCTTCCCGGCTAATCAGGAAGCCAGGCGGTGTGTAATGGCTTCCTGCTCGGCTTCCCGATACCGGGAGCATTTGGGCAAGTGCGAGTACTCGCCCAAATACTCGGTATCGGCACAGATACCAGTATCGGTGCATTCCTATTTAAAAGTGTGCAAAATCTTGAGGCACATTAGTGCAAGATGAGATCCCTCTTAACATCAGAGTTCCCCCTTCACATAAGAGCCCCCCCCCCTTTTACATCAGGAACCCCCTTGGCTTTAGAACCCCCCCCCGCTGCACATTAAAGTCCCCCCAAATCAAGCAAGCTGTGCGGGTCCCAGATGCCAGGACACACAGTTTGCTTGGCTGCCCTTCCCCTGAATCCCGTCTCGGGTGATATGTACTTCCTTGAACACGGCCTGATTAGTTATTATGGTCTGTGCACCAAAGCATCCAAGCACACTGAGGGCCGACTGACAGCGTCCTAGCAACCAATGATGTCACCGGTTGCTAGGACCCTGGCAGACGGCCTGCACGGTGCTGGGGTGTTATGGTCACCTGGCTTGAGAAATGCTGATCTGAGACCTAAGGCTTGAACTAAAGCCTCAGGGCTCGCTACGTGGAAGCAGTGGTCTCTGTGAAGAGGTCCCGCACACTTTGCTGATTGCAGAGCTATAGGTCAGACTCAGCAGGAGACGTGTCAAACCTCTGCAGAGAGACCGCTGCTTCCACACAGAGACCAAGGGTCCTCCTCTGCAGCTTGTGGGCAGGGGACAGGCTTTTCTATCAGGCTGTGGCTGCTTTCTAAAGAAAATGAACTGGAAGACTCTGTCCACCTTTTTCATGCATTTTGAATGTATTTGGCAGATTTAAACTGCAGGTGAACAATTCCAGCCAGCTGATGCAGCTTTGGGATCCTTTTCATGTTTCCCCCAGGCTATCCTTAGCTGCTTCACCGAGAAAAAGGCTCGAGCTCAAGCTGAAATTTACACACCACTGACCTGTTCAGAGAGTCCTATGCCGTTTCAATTAGAGAGAAGCAATCTTAAAGCAAGCAGCCATTGTTTTAGGCTCTCTTTAGAAAACCCATCATGAGAAGCCAGCGTCGTGCATGCACACTGTATTCAGTGTGCATGAAGTAAGACATCTAAATCTGATTCATAACTAGGTTTAAAAGGTTTCCTCTGCCCCGTCGTCTATAAAGGAGGATCGCTGTCTGTACAATATGTGATTCGTGAAAAGTAGGAAGAGAAATTACAAAGCACTTACGAGTCTTGTAGTTCAGCTACAGCCAACCTATCGGCATCGGGGTCCGTAGCCAGCACCACCCGGGCCCCCTCCCTCTCCGCCAGCCTGAGAGACAGGTCCTAGGGGACAAGGGAAAACCTGTTACCGCCATACTTCCAGAATCAGCTTACATGTCTTTATTCTCTTTCCAAGTCAACCCCTGAGGCTGGGTTCACACCTGGGCGTTCCAAATAGGTGCGTTTTTAGCGCGATTGAAACGCGATTTCGACACTTGGCGGTATGATTTTTTTTTTTTTCCTCTTTTTCTCTATCCTTTTAACTTTTTTAACTTCCCGCCGGTTCCGCCCGACCCTGCGACGCAGACGCTCGCAAGGGACGGAACCCAGGAAGACGACAGCGGATGGAGGACACAGCGGGATCGCGGACAAGGCCACACTCGGGAATACCAATGGATACGTGCTGAAAAAACACCCTAAGCCCGAAAAATAGTACAGGAGCTTCTTTGGGCGCTGAAATCCGCCCAAAGAAGCTACTGTACTTTTTCGGGCGTAGGGCGTTTCTCAGCGCGTCACAACACGCTGAAATACGCCCAGGTGGGAACCATGCCCATAGGAGTTAATAGGTTTTCACTGCTTGAGCGTTTTTCAGCGCTTCGATCAGCGCTGAAAAACGCCCAGGTGTGAACCCAGCCTGAGGAACCATTGGAAGCCAAGTGTAAGGCTACATTCACATCCCCCATACTATAGTGCAATGCTTTACCTACAACCAAGGCAGGTGTCAGGCAGGCTGACTATGGAGCTAGGAGGCATGTAGGTGCAATGGTACGGTGTCCTGTAGATCCAAGTAGAAGTTAAAGGAATAAAAACTGACCATCCCAACGCAGATCTTCTTCCATGCTTAGTGTGGTCAGAGACCTACAGGAAGGCATAGGGACTGGCAGGATCAGCAGGTATTTAGTGATGATTCAAGTCAACATATAAATGGAAGCAGTGCTTGGATTAGGGATGCACCGATAACGGTTTTCCGGTATCGAGTACAAGTACCGATATTTATATTTCGGTACTCACCGGTACTTCCGGTAGCATAGAGCCGGCTTCCTAGGCAATCAGGGATCCAGGCGGTGTCATTACCCACCGCCCGGCTTCTTGATTACCCGGGAAGCCGACTCCATTCTGTTTGGCCGGCTCAATGCTGATTGGCTGGGAATGGACAGGGCCAAAGCCAGCCTCACCAGGTGCCGTAGGCACTTCTACGAATATGGGAATCAGTTCAGCCGCTCCCTTGCCCAAGCACTGCGCCAGCAGCGCGCACTAACATTTATCCCGGTGATTAAATCCCCCTCAGGACACCCTTGCCACCTATCGGCCGCCGCTTTCCACGATTACTATGCCACCCTCTATAACCTCCCATGCCCTCAGAATACATCTGCCACGACCGCACGACAACGGCGCATTTGTACCTACCTAGAGGAGTCGACTATGCCATGCATGCCCCCTGAGGTACGATCGTCCATGGAGGAGCTGGAGGCAGCCATCAAGCAAACCAACAGGGGCAAGGCCCCGGGCCCTTATGGGTTCACTCTCACATAGTACAAAAAAGTTTCCCACTTCGCTCCATGGACGTATGCTTGCGGTCTGGAACTCGATCCGAGAGCTACACACCCTTCCCAGGGACCCCCTGTCAGCCCACATAACAGTGATCCCTAAACCGAATAAGGATCCCACGGTTTGCCCCAGTTACCGCCCTATTTCGCTCCTAAACGTGGACATCAAGCTTTTTGGCAAGGTTCACGCCATACGGCTATTCGCGCCCTTAATATCATCCACTCGGCCCGGTCGAAGTCCTCCCCTAGTCTCCTTTTGTCGACTGGCGCGGAGAAGGCCTTCGACAGGGTCGACTGGTCCTTCCTTCGCCTCACCCTAGAGCACATCGGGCTTGGTCTCATGGACACTCGCTCTATACTCTGCACCCACGGCCAGAGTAAGTGTCAACGGTAACCTATCCGACCCCTTCACTATAGGTAACGGCACCAGACAGGGTTGCCCACTCTCCCCCCTCATTTTCACCTTGACGCTTGAACAGCTGCTTCGGTCCATTCGGGCCCATCCAGACATCTGGGGCATCACCGTGGGCCCCCATCAACATAAAATAGCTGCTTACGCAGATGACCTATTATTTTTCATTTCCTCCCCTGACACGACGCTACCCAACCTGGCATCGGCCTTGCGCCAATACGGCGAACTCTCCAATTTCCATATCAACACCTAAAAATCGGAAGCCCTAAATTTGACAGTACCCATACAGATGTTACCGCGTATCTAGTGAAACTTTCCCTACCAATGGTCCCCCACCTCCCTCAAGTACCTGGGCGTGAGGCTCCCTCAAGACCTTACACAACTGTATAGTCCTAACTTCCCGCCCTGGCTTCTGAAGGTTAAGTCGGACCTAGAGGGGTGGGCCAGGAATACGTTTTCGTGGACTGGACGATGTAATGTTATTAAACAAAACATCCTTCCACGTTTCCTCTATCCCTTTCAGGCCCTTCCGATACATAACCCGCGATCCTATTTCCGCTCGTTGCAAGCCGCAATCACATCCTTCATCTGGGCAGGTAAGACCCACAGGCTTAGACTGTTGGTTCTTCGACGACCTAAGCTGGCAGGGGGCTTGGCCCTCCCCGACCTCTACCTTTATTACATGGCGTCCCACTTGACTTGCGTCGTGGACTGGTGTCGGCACGGAGAAACCAAAAAGTGGGTGGCACTGGAACAGTTAGTGACCTCAATCCCTCTACCAGCTCTACCATGGTGTGGGAACTCTTCCCAAACAACTAAGAACCCAGCCGACGGTGGGCCCTACTTGGCGGATGGCACAGACGGCGTTCAGGGAGAAACATTTGTCCCCCTCACCTATGTACCCTGTCATTGGTAACTCGGAGTTCCTCCTGGGTCTGGAGGGCGGCTTATTCCGCCGCCTTCCAGCCCTGGGGTGGTTTAGGCCGATGCATTTCCGCCAGGACACTCAATGGCAATCCCTGCGAGTCCTTGTACTTGAAACGGAGGTGGGAGACCCCGGTTTCTGGCGACAGCTTCAGCTTTCCCACTTTCTATCCTCGCTCCCTGCACCCGCTGTGCCCGACCCTTTCCGACTTCGAACGCGCCTGCACTGACACGGGACCCATAGCCAAGACACTATCCTTCTGCTACAAATTGGTGGTAGAGGCGGACCTGGACTCACCGCTGCGCTTTCTTGGGCAACGGGAGAGGGAATTGGGGCTCCAGTTCTCACAAACCGACCAGGCCAAGCTCCTACGGCTCTCCCTGAAGTCATCTATCTGTAACAAATACCAGGAGTCGGGCTACAAAATCCTGACTCGCTGGTACAGAACTCCCCACAGACTTCACCAGATATATGGCAAAGTGCCGGATGTATGTTGGCGGTGCGCCTCCTCTCCTGCAGACATGCTTCATATATTCTGGTCCCGCCCGAGACTGACGTCTTTTTGGACTCGGGTGAGACAGATATCCCAGAAATTTACTGACCACCAAATCCCGGGAGATCCGGCAGTCTTCCTCCTCCACCATAACCATTTTCCACTGAAGGGGTACTCCAGGTCAGTGCTGGTACAGCTACTAAATGCGGCACATGCATGTATACCGTTGCTGTGGAGACAGGAAGCCCTACCCTCGATCCGACTCTGGTTTATCAAAATAAATGACATCAGAACCATGGAGGACCTCACCAGCTCCATCAGGGGTACCTCCGCCAAATTCGCGAACACCTGGTTTTACTGGGACGATTTCACAACGGCCGAATACTGTGCCATCATGGCCTCTTGAGTAAAGCCCACCTTACACCCACGCCCCTAGACTGCTCCTTCCTCTCTTCACTTCTGCCTGTCCCAAACCCCCTACCCTCCTTTTGTATGCTTTCCCCTCCCCATACCCTCGGACCCGTCCCAGAGAACACAACTGGGGTACCCGAAATGTACAACCTGCCACATCTGGCAGAACTTACGATGCCGGTATATATATACTTCTACCCACCACACCAAGGTGATGAACACTAATTAACGTATGGCATGTCCTTCAAGGGTACAGAGAATCGCCACACTTTAAGTGACTGCATTGACCGAGGTTGAACTGTATGTCCTTCCCTTACCTATGTGGTCTTTGTTGTGTAATGTTATACTACATTTACCTGTGTTGTTCCATGCTTAATGGATAAAAATGACAAAGAATTTATTTAACCACTTGCTGCCCGGGGTGTTACACCCCCTTCCTGTCCAGGCCATTTTACAGTATTCAGTGCTGCGGTACGTTTATTCCGTCATGCAACGCTGTACTGAAATTAATTTTATACCATTTTTTTGGGGACAGATAGAGATTTCTTTTGGTGGTATTTAATCACCACTGGGGGTTTTATTTTTTACTATATGAAAAAAGTACCGAAAATTTGGAAAAAACTGTTTTCCCTACGTTATGTTATAAAACAGTTCTTATTACCCAAATTTTTGGCAAAATATAAAAGACGGGGTCACGTCGGGTAGATAAGACACCAAACATGTTAAGCTTTAAAATTGCGCGCATCCGCGAACTCGCACAAAACGACCATACCCAAAATTAACCATAGGCGACGCTTTAAATGCTTTTACCGCTCATCAGTTTAGTGTTATCAGGGATTGATGGCCCTACAATGATTGCTCTCACTGCGACGTTCGCGGCCATACGTAACATGTGTGGCGTAATGGATGCAAGTCGTTTACGCACTAAGGCGCACTGGACGCATGTTTGCAAGTTTATGTGGAGGGCGGGGGACTTAAAAAAAATGGTTTACTTTTTTTTATTACCTTTATATGTTACAAAAAAAATATATAAAAAAATTAAAAGTAACTAATTTTTTTAAACATTTTTTTTTTCACTTAACTTTATTGCTATCACATAGGGCCCCCTTTGTGATAGCCAATTTTCAGTGACAGGTCCTCTTTATGGAGACATCAGGGGTCTTTAAGACCGCTAATGTCACCTAGGGACCCGCAGAGAAGCTGATGAAGCAAACACCTGCTTCACCAGCTTCTCTCCGGTTTCTGTACCGGAGAGTGACACTGAATGCAGGAAGTGATGTAATACACATCACTGCCTGCATTCAGAAGAGGAGAGGAGATCAAACGGAGCTCGTGTACTGATCACCGGCCGCAGAGCTGCTGTGCTCAGTGTGCTGCTGTCACACTGGGCACAGCGGAGCTCGGGATCGCCAGCAGCGCCTGCGGCGGAGGCCGCACACCCGCATGCTTATTACAAGCGATCGGACGTCTCTACAGACGCTAGCTGTTTACAGTGCAGACTGAATTCCCGCTCGTGCCCGCCGCCTAGCGGGACATTTAAAAACGCCCACCCGCATTCAAGAAGCCACTGTCTGGCCGTTTAATTACAACGGCCGGACAGCAGGTGGTTAAAAAAAAAAAAAAAAAAAGACTGAGCTGTAGCAATCACCCCCAATGTAACCTAGTCACAGAGAGCCCGCTTACCAGGACACACTCTCCTTCCTCAGGATTCGGGCATTTCACAGTTGAAAAGTTTGGGTCGGGGTCCTTCTGCTCGGCGACGGGAATGGGGGGGTTAAAGCCGAACACTTTGAAAGCTGACTGTACGTAGTCGTGACCAACTCCGTGAAATGAGGTGTGGACAAACTTCATTGAGGTCTTCTGGTTCAGCTCCCTGCGAGAGAAACGAGACAGAGATCATATAAAGGAGACATGAATATCAGGCCCAACAAATCCTATTGTCACAACGGACACTGGCGGCCTCTATAGAGAGAAGTCACGTGGGTGAGTGTTCCATTGACATTAGCCCAATGGGGCCCCACGATTCATAGGCATGCTGCTCTTGCATTGCAAAATGTTAAAGCCCAATGCTGCCAGCCGTCCCCCAATCCTACAATCTCCTCCCAGATGCCTAGAAGGGCGCAAAACATGGTCACAAATGGACTCCCTTGCTAACACTTATGTATGAATGTTTGCTATTGAGGGGTATGTCCAGGTGGAGCTGATGGGGACGAGCCCTTAAATTGGCCAGACACTACTACAAAATGCTTGAATCCCTCAGTCACGCTAAGCAGCATAGACGGGGGGGGGGGGGATCGCCCC